CCATTAAAGAAATCTCATAAGCTAAACACGTAAGTATCCTCAGCTTCTCACACCAGAGTTGTTGGCTGATGACAGAGTCCTGCGTGATGAGAGCTCTATTGGTACTGCCTGATAACGTCAGTCATTAGCTTGATGCTATTTACCCAGAAATCAGACATGTATAGGTTTTCCATGTTGTGTTATTTACAGGCATTTTATAGTCACTTTCCCTTCTTCCCCTTAGGCATTTGGAAAGAAGGGGCAATAGGAGAAAGAGATAGACACATACCCCCCTTGAACCAACTGTTAGTTTTTCTTGTTGGTTTTTCCATTTAAATTTGAAACTTGATCTTCTGACCAACGAAGTAAAGATCATTTCAGTGCTGTAATCCTTCCTCCTTACAGAAGGAAAGCTGATTATTGTTCAGAGTGGAGTGGGAGAAAATTAATGTAGAAAAGGTTTGTTCTTGACAAGGAATTCTCCCAGCCCTCAGTGCTAGGGAGAAGCACACACAGCCCCAAGAGTGAACATGAGCGTATCTCGGCACTGCCGTGAGGATGTGCACACACAGGCAAGCCTTTCTCTCCTTGGACCACGAGGCTCTCTGCCCTGTGCACCTGGTAAGTGACTTGCTCAAATGTGCACAGCCAGCAGTGGCAGATGGGACAGGAACGTCTTCTGGCTCCAAGTCTGGGTTCTTCCACAACATAAGTTGGGAGACGCAATAAGAGACAATTGTGCACGTGCAGAGGGGGGATTCTGTAGTAACCAGGATGTCTGATCTGGGGGACCCCAAGAAAATTTGGGTTTCTGTACCCCAGTGTTTTTTTACTGTTTTTTCCTCTGAAAAAGGGGTTTGGATGTTGTCAGGGGGTCTACACCCCCCACATTCAGGAGCAGTGTCGTCTGAAAAGCCTATCCCTTTTCCCCTAGTCCTCAGTAGAAAAGCTGTTAAACCTAAGATGTTGCAAAACTCTGTCCAGGTATCCTTGTGTCCTACCTGCTTCCAGTCCACTCTAATGACTGATGTGACGAGGCAGCACCAATAGAGATCTGTCATCAGCCAACAATTCTGGTGTGAGAAGCCGAAGATACTTATTTGTTTAGCTTATGAGGTTGCTTTAATGGGTGGACTTCAAACTACCAGTAAGCCTGTAGGTACATCTTAAATCCATGCTGTGTGGTTGAATCCCCCCAAATTATTCTAAATTAGGGGCCTTGATGAGTTTCTCCTAAACGACTATAAAGAGATTTCTGCGGGTTAAAGGAGCAGAACTCTGAGCGAAGCTTCTTGGAAGAAAGGCAGGGCTGCTGGTTGTTGAGTAGCTGTGGAGAGTGGGGGAGAGGGCGGCCGGCAGGCCTGGGCTCAGTATCCTGGCTTCCCATCATACACCTCACCTGTTATCACGTCCCGCGTGACAAGGGCTGGGGGGCTCGAGGAGGGGCGGCGAAGGGTTAAGAAATCACACGAGTCATAAGTAGAGTTTCTGCGGGCCAGGGGTCTCCTCTCTTCAGACTGAGAGAGCGAGCCCTGATACTGGCAGGCGAATAACTTTTATTTACAACTGTCACAAAAAGTCAATTTGAATATCTATACCCAGTTAATTGATTTGATTAGACCAGCAGCTGTTTCACCGAAACTTATTGTAATCAAGCACAGAGTTGTGCTTTCACACATACCTATGATCCCCTGGATGGTCTCCTTATGACTTTAAAGGATCAGCACACAGGAGCATTCGAGTCGACAGCTGCAAGGGGACGACCTGTCGCCAATAGAGTTTGCCCATTTGCTTTTCATATTACCTTGAACTTTTAAAAGCGCCCTTTGGATGAGGAAAGGTCAGATGGAACTTGGAGAGATGGAACTGGGGTGGGGTACAAGGGCAGACAGAGACCTAGAGGCAAGTTAGAAGCCCTTCTCTCTGGTCTGGGGCTCTGGTGAGGGAGGTGAGTTGGGAGCTGAGTGTATCCTCCCCCCACACCCCCACCCCCACCACCCCCACCAGCAGCCCTGGAATAAGAACAAAAGCATGAGGGCTGGAGAGGTGTGTTTCAGGTTTCTGCTCTGCCACTCTCGGTTGCAGCCTCACCTGCCTCATCTGGGAAACAGTTTAATACTAAAAGGTGGGCTACCTACTTTGCAGAGGGCTGTGTAGAGGCCCAGATGAGCCAGAGAATGACCTCTGCAAAGACTGTTAATCAAGTCACACGGATACATCAGTGTGAGCAACAAAGATGAAGGTGGTGGTGATGATTTCCACCTCCAGCCTGCTGTGAAGAACAAAAAGCACCAGCAAAACACGTGCACAAAGCCGATGCAAAGCCAAGGCTGTGAGCTGTGGCTCCACCAGCCCACTGTAGCTTTCACCCAACTTTTGCTGGCCCAGAGCTCTGGTGCCCTGGAGTCACTGACATTCTTCAGTTTGGAATCGTGTAAGGAAATAGAATATGAAAAGTTCCTCCAGGAGAAAGTTGTGGAGGCGGGGCCCTATCAATCTTATTTAAATTTTCACCCATTCACTATAACAGTTCACAGTTGTTTTTTTAATATACGAGGTGCTTTCACAAATACTATATCAGTAATCCTATATTATCCCCATTTAATAGGTAAAGAAACTGAGGCTGACATCAGGCAAATGAACTATCCTCACACTGCTATTAACTTGCAGCTATTTGCAGGTTTCTGACTTCAAGTCCTGTGTTCCTGGAACCTAAGTTCAGCGAACTACAGAGCTAAAGAAAGAGATGGGAGGGAGGGGAAGGGAAGGAGGGACGAAAGTAGGGAAGCAAGGAAGGAGGAAAGGAAAAAGAAAAAGTAAAGAAAGGAAAGGAAAAGTCATTTAAGAGAGGAGCAGAGGGCGCTTTTTACGCAATACACACCGGAAGAGTAAGGCACAAGAAGTCTGGGCGCTGACAGGTCCTCCGCTGCGTGGTACACGCGCGGTGTCCACGGTGCCCCGGGGTCGTCACACGCGGAACCGCCGCTCCGACTCTGCTCCCCCGTGTCTGCGGGAACCCCATCCCACCCTGCCGAGAGTCCCAGCACTCGCAGGACCCGGCACCGCAGCCCCTATGTCTCTACCCTTCTTGGTTCGCTTGCTTGCGGATTCACCGCTCCGAGCCTCAACAGATGATCCTCTGGATCGACAACTGACAGCGGTCCTGGGCCCGGCGCTGGCCGGAGCAGGTGTTGGGATTACCTCGGAGGACGCCAGCCTTGGCCCTCTCGCTCAGCCCTCAGAGCCCCGGGATTTGGGAACCCCTGGGGTCTACGCGGAGCTCGTGAGGACTGAGGTCGCAGTGACCAGAGAGACGGAGGGGTCTCATTGACCCCTCACATCTTAGCACCGCCGGCACCAGCGCACGCTCGCATAAAGTTACCCAAGTGAATCAAAGCATGGGGACAAATTAATGAAGCAATGAAGCGAGCGTAAGAGCCCGGGTTCCCGCGTGCAGACAACTCGCAAGCTCCGGGCCAGGCCTGGGCTAGCAACATGGCCGTTAACGACCAGATCCTGGACAAGCTGGACTCGAGCGCTGTCCTCGGACTAAATGCAAAAAGTTAAACGATTGGAAACAAGAATCACAACACGTATCTTCTCTGACCCCGCCTCCGTTGTTTTCTCCATTTTTGCCATGGGTCTGTGGACTCCAACTTGACCTCTCTGCGCTCCTGGGGGCCGGCGCATCTTCCTAGCCTGGTACCTGGGCGCGGCCCCATGGCGTGCGCGTTCTGCTGAGGAATCGCGCAAGGAGGGACCAGAGGCCGGAACTGGAGTGGGGACGCCCGTGGCCGGCAAGGGGGCGCTGTGCCCTAGAGGACTCTGACCCTGCGGGGCGCTGTCCCCACCCTGGAGCGTTGGTGGGTTAGAAAGGGTCGGTGTCGAGTTCTCCCAAGGGTCTTGGGCTGCCACGCTAGTCCCTCTTCAGGGATCCCTTATTTCCTCCTCCCTGCCCCCACCCCCAACAAGCTTTCTTTCCCGGGCCCGGCGTGGCCCTAGCTCCCCGCGGTTCCCAGGGCATTCTGGCGTGGGATTTTTCTAGAGGAATTTCTGGCAGAGGGCTCCAACACGGGAAATGGCTTAGGCTTCCCGGAGTAGGGAAGTCCGCCTAGACCGTGGGCACCTTCTCTCCGCAAACCTCCCTGCCTGCCAGCGGGGTCCCCTGCGCCAGCCAGCCCCGCGGTTCCAGGTTACTCTCCGGCTGTGGGACACCCACATTCCTGCTTGCGCCGCGCCGCGCCGCGCTGCGCCCCGCGCCCTTCGCTGGTCAGCCCCGGCCCTCGAGAGCAGCGGGTGGAGCGAATGTGCCTAGGGTGCTGCTACTGGATCCGGGCTGGAAGGGAGAGAAAACCTAAACAATCTATTTATGCGGAAAGCCCGTTCTCAGAAGAAAACAATACGGGGCTTTAGAAATTAAAATTGGGACTTAAAAACGGAGATAGTTGCACTTCTCCATCCACTTGCCCGCTTTTAGCCGTGGGGCCTGACCCAGAGCGCATATTGCACGCGAGGCGCCTGTGAACTCAGACATTGCGCGCTGAGACATTGAAATCCGGACTTAGAACTTACGGGCTCTATGTCTAGAGTTATAGTAACATCTGCCATCACGTACAGATTTTGAGCTTCACACATACTATCTCACCAAACTTCACAACAGCCCTGTGAGATCAGTCTTATCATCGTCCTCACTTAAAGATTAGGAAAGGAGGCCCAGAGAGATACCCAACTTTCCCAGAGTCACCCAAACACTGAAGTAACCCAAACACTGAAGGCAGTTCCTGTCTTCAGACCCACTGTCCTCCCATGACGATGCTACCTCCTTCCATGGCCATTTCTGCGGAGCACTGCACAGGGGTTGCGCTCAGTAAACATTTGTGGATTGAATTTCAGGATCTAGTTAAGCCGTGTTTTTATACAGCAGGGTGTGTCTGAGCCATATTTATTCACTTACTTATTCATTCACTTATTTAGCCGTTCCTGAGAGCCTACTGTGTGCCAGCGCTGAAGTAAGAGCCAGGAGAGCAGCCCTACTCACACGAAGCAGGGTGACACGGGAGCTGTCCTCCGAGGCAGGCGGCTCGCGTCCTCGAGGACGGCGGTGAGCTCCCAGCCCCCAGCCCTCCGAGTTGAGCGCAGGCCCCAAACCTGAAGCCCTGTCTACCCTGGGGTGTCAGGATCAGGGAAAATCGGGAGCTCCCAGGTCGTGCCAAAGCCGTAGGGGACTTGGTGGGGAAGGGCCAGAGCGAATCCACTCGTTCCGTGGGAGCTGGTGGGAGGAGAAAATAGAAGAAGGGAATTCCTCGAGAGAAGAGCTAGGGGCAAGGGAGCTGGAGACCCAGACCCCCGAGACTAGGGTGGGGTGGGGAAAGAGGTGTAAGAATAGAGATACCAGACGACAGAGTGAATAAGAACTGAGAACGCAGCCATGTCCTCCCATGAGCCAGGAAGCTGCGAGGACTACGAGGAGTCCCTGGGGTGGACACTGCATAGAACCTGATGTGGGATCCAACCCTTGGTAGTCTCTGGTGGCCACCAAAATTGGCTGGGGTCCCGGATCATTTTAGAAAAGCGGTAGTGTGTTCTCTTAAGAACGGTTCACATGCTCCTTTGAGGGGATTCATAGTCAACGACTCCAGCACCCCTCAATTCTCAGCGAAACCTCTTTGGCTTCGGTTCTCTGTAGGATTCCACGCACGGGAGGCGTTAGTGGAGTCTGGCCCGGGGAGGCCACAGCCAGGGGGCTGGGGTCAGGCTCCCGCTCCCCGGCGAGGTGACTGAGGGTGGCGCCCGCCTCCTGGCTCTGCGGCACCTGAGCCCGGAGCGGGCAGGACGGGAGGTGGCCCCCGGGCGGCGGGGCGCGGATCCCGGAGAGAGACCCAGAAGGCGGGGGGACGGGCCAGGGGCGGGCGCGGGGAAGAGGCCCTCCTTCCTTCTCCCCTCAAACCCCGGCAGGTCGGAGCGGGGACTCGGCGACCGGGAAGGCAAGCGGGGTGAGGGAAGGGGGGGGCCGCGCCGAGACCGAGGGAGGGGCCGCGCCGCCTTCCAGAGTCATTGGAGGACGCGACTGCTCGAAGCTGATAAATAAGGGGCCGGGCCGCGGCTGCGGGCCAAGTTGGACGCCCCGACCGGTGCGAGGGCCAGGTCAGCACCTGCCCCGCGAGGCGCCCCCCGTGCGGCCATGGCCTCGCTGCTGGGAACTTACCCGTGGCCGGAGGGACTCGAGTGCCCGGCCCTGGAAACCGAACTGTCGGATGGGCTGTCGCCGCCGGCTGCCACTCGCCCGCCGGGGGACAAGGGCTCGGAGAGCCGTATCCGGCGGCCCATGAACGCCTTCATGGTGTGGGCCAAGGACGAAAGGAAACGTCTGGCGGTGCAGAACCCGGACCTGCACAACGCCGAGCTCAGCAAGATGCTGGGTGAGTGAGCTGGCGGGCGGGCGGGTGCGCTCCGAGGTTGCGGGCGAGGGGCGCGGGAAAAGACGACCTGGGGCGAGCGAGCCGATTTGGGCAGGACCTGGCGTGTGGGGACGCGCGGGGAGTGATGCAAGGTGGGCATCTGTGCGAGCGGGGGTGTGCGCGCGGTGGTCGGGATTCGGAGCAGGGACACCTTGGCACGGCCCAAAGCGAAACCGCGCGACCTGTCGAGGTGGTCCGGGAGGTCAGAAGCGGAATTGGGGGCCTCGAGGGACAGTATAGGCCGGGCAGCGTTCAGGCCCGGGTCGTCCAGCGACAGGGATCCGTGCGCTCTAAGAGGTCGGGACGGAAACGCAGAGACGGAGTGGAACTGGCGTTTGCCAGAAATACCGGAGTAGGAAACCCATCGTTCCCTAAACTTTACCGCTGGCACCATCACAAAGGGAGATTCTAACTATTATTAACGAACATTGTGAAAAGAGACCTTGCGGGAACGCATCCCTGCTTTAACTTAATTAGTAAAGCAATAGTTAAAAAAAAAAAAGTAAAAGAAAAAAAGAAAGTCTGCGCAAATAGACTCCATTCAAGACTGTCAATCGCAGGAGTTTAGATAATTTGATCCGGATGCTTAGGGCAACCAGTGAGGGTCTGTCCTGGAGCCCAGCTGGGTGGCTTCCCGAGTGATACTGTGCAGTCCCCCCTGGGGTGGCTGGACTAGGGACGGGGATGAGCCAGACCAGAGGAGCCCGGGGAGAGGATGTTAGGGCATGTCGGAAAAATCGGAGTTTATGTTGGGATTTCTTGTCTCTCCCTTGTCTGGAGCTGCTCACTTTTCCACTTGGCCTTACTCCTAACCTCTTAGTCCCTTCGAAGTTTTTTATTCATTTTAACCGGTGGAAACCTTCTGAAGCACTTTGTGTGTGCGGTGGAGGCCAGGCCCTGTGAGGAGGGACAATGTGCGGCCCCACCAGGCCCAGAACGATTGGAGCCGGGTTTCTTTTTCCGTTGGAGCTGTGGGCTCCTTCCGGGTGGGAACTGTGGAGTGAGGGCTGAGGTCCACCTTTCTGATGGCTAAGGCCACAGGCCTACAGAGTCCCTCCCGCTGTTCTGGACATGCTTTCAAAGTCTCAGAGTGCTGGTTTCAAAGAGCCTCCTACCCGCAGCCCAGCCTCCTGGCTGGCTGTGCCCAGGACACATTTGTGGGCTAATCTTGGCGAGTCCCTTCCTCCATGAAAAATATTTAAAATTGTATTTCACACTGTGTTGACAAAAAGACAAATATATTAATATATACAACAATAAATCATTTTATTCAACCTGATAGTTCACATTTTCCCTCCAAATTGCTAAAGAAATGAAAACATATATTTTGTGGACCCCTAAAAGTTTTTTTTTGGTGGGCCCTAATGCTGTGCCTATTACCCAAACAGAGCTCTTGTGACCAAGATGGAGCAGGGTTTCTGCTGCAGACTGGAGCCAGAGACCAGAGAACTTGGGTTGGGGAGCGCTAAAGGACTGAGGCTGCCTGTTCCCCAGCAAAGGGCAGGCAAAGGGACTTGGATGACAAATGCCTCCTGTAAGCTGATCCCTGCTGTCTATTTGCACTTAGGCTTTCAGAGGTTATAGTTCATTTTGCAGGAAAGACACTGATTCCTTCCTGCTTAACCACATAGCCCCTGGCACTGGGTGACGGAAACCAACCTGGTATTGCTTTTTAAAATACAGACTTTCGAATCTGTTCATAGGGTAGCAGCAGGATGGTCTGTTTCCACCCCCATGACCTAACCCAGCCCTTTCCTTTCTGACCTAGGAAAGGAAAGGACTGGATGTGAGAGTCCCAACTTTTTTGACTATAAGCTTTCTAACATTTAACATTGAAACTTCACCCAATAGCGCTAGTATGTTTAGTATATTATGAATGAGAAAGCCCATTCGATTACACATTTAGTGGCATTTAAAAATGAACCTATATTTTATTAATACTGCCATATCCAGGTATACTTAGAAACCAGAGTCACATTTATATTCAGTCCACAGACAAGGTGTGTTTTGTCTTGATCTTGGGCCTCTTGCAACAACTCTGTGGCCTCAGCCCAGGCTGGGAACTGAGGACCAACCCGAAAGCTGGGCTTCCTAACACTTTTCAAGTCACCCTTGTAAGTAACAGCTAATTATACTAATTGACGACTCTGTCAGAATAGCTCTAAACTTTCATACCAGTGGTAGCACACCTTTAATAATCACCCTCCACCAGGCCCCTCTGAGGGCCTGGTGTGCAGAGCCAGCCAGCACGGGCGCTGAGGGAGGGTGGCCGTACACACAGCTCTGTGCAGACAGCTCTGGGTGGGAGCTGTGGTCCCATTTCCTTATAGGGCTTAGCAAGGCCTACCCTCCAGGTGAGTGGCTCTCAAACTTCAGGATACATTAGAGTCATGGGGTAACCTGTCAAAGCTATAGAATCCGAGTCCACCCGAGTGGGTAACAACAATCTATGAGGTCCAGAAGCGGCCTTCAGAAAACCTGCAGCTGGAGAGATGACAGAGAGATGCTAAAGCAATTTACAAACAATATACAAGCAAGTAAGGACGAATAGGAAATACAAGTGAAACTGGCATTTTAGTAGGATACATGTGTGCGATGCTTTTTAAAGAGAGAGTTTTGAATTGGGTAGCATCACAATATATGTTCTAGTGAGGAAAATAGAGACCCAGGGAAGCTAAAGAGGTTTTCTTCTGCATGGGGAGTCAATGGCTGAGCAGGTGCCCCTGCCACTGTCAATGGGTCCTAAGTAGATGGCTGGCAGCTCTAGCTTGTGCATGTGTGCGTGCGCTTGTGTGCCTGTGTGCATGTGCATGCCTACATATGTGCATGGTGCAGGCAGATGTTAGCATCCTGGTTCATGGTCAGGTCTTCATACAGTAGGGTTCTATTTGACTTTCGGATGCAAAGAATAATCGCCTGTTACCCTAAGTTAGTGCCTGTAATTTACTTACATCTGTGAAACTGTTGACCCTGCCTGACTTCCCTCAGGGGAAGGCCTATGAGGTTTATGCCGTAAATAATATTATAGCATCACTTCCTGAGACACAGCAATGATCAATGAAGGTAGAGAGTTTTAATTTAAATGTCCACATAATTAGAATTGCACCCTGGAAAGGGTAAAAAGAGCCCAAATCAATGTGGTAGTCATTATACATTTTTGTTCTGTGGCTGATATTGGGTCAGGTGGGCCTTTCCCTGTAAGTTCCCATTGTTCATATGTTCGTGTGATCCGGTGGTTTTTATAGGAGAGACGATGTGACTGTCTGTGTAGTTGGCCTGTGGTGGTTTTACGGGATGCAGGCGGGAGAGGTTGGTTTGGCCTCACTGTGCAGTGCAAGATCCGGGCTGGGAAGGGGGTTCGGGGAGTGTGGTGTCCTTCGTGTCCTTTGTGGAGAGAAGGGACCCCAGATGTCATGGGGGACAGCGTGTGCGTGTGTGATGCGTGGAGGCACGAGCCTGAGACAGGTGCACCCGCAGCCCCAAGCCACGCAGATGCTGAAAGTGGCCTTCTCTGACTTGTATGAGCAGGAAAGTCGTGGAAGGCGCTGACGCTGTCGCAGAAGAGGCCCTACGTGGACGAGGCGGAGCGGCTGCGCCTGCAGCACATGCAGGACTACCCCAACTACAAGTACCGGCCGCGCAGGAAGAAGCAGGCCAAGCGCCTCTGCAAGCGAGTGGACCCCGGCTTCCTGCTGAGCTCCCTCTCCAGGGACCAGAACGCCCTGCCTGAGAAGCGGGCTGGCGGCCGGGGGGCGCTGGGGGAGAAGGAGGACAGGGGTGAGTACTCCCCGGGCGCCGCGCTGCCCAGCCTGCGGGGCTGCTACCAGGAAGGGCCAACGGGCGGCGGCGGCACCCCAGGCAGCGTGGACACGTACCCATACGGGCTGCCCACGCCTCCGGAAATGTCGCCCCTGGATGTGCTGGAGCCGGAGCAGACCTTCTTCTCTTCCCCCTGCCAGGAGGAGCATGCACACTCCCGGCGCATCCCCCACCTGCCCCGGCCCCCTTACTCCCCGGAGTATACCCCCAGCCCCCTCCACTGCAGTCACCCCCTGGGCTCCCTGGCCCTCGGCCAGTCCCCGGGTGTCTCTATGATGTCCACTGTACCCGGCTGTCCCCCATCTCCAGCCTATTACTCCCCTGCCCCCTTCCACCATCTCCATTCCAACCTCCATGCCCACCTGGGCCAGCTCTCGCCCCCTCCTGAGCACCCTGGCTTTGATGCCCTGGATCAGCTGAGCCAGGTGGAACTCCTGGGGGACATGGATCGCAATGAATTCGACCAGTATTTGAACACTCCTGGCCACCCAGACTCTGCTGCTGGGGCCGTGACTCTCAGTGGCCATGCTCCGGGCTCTCAGGTGCCAACCACGGGCCCCACGGAGACCAGCCTCATCTCTGTGTTGGCTGATGCCACGGCCACGTACTACAACAGCTACAGCGTGTCATAGAGCCCGAGGCCGCCCGTCCAGCCCTGCCTCGCCGCCACTCTCCTTCCTGCGCACTGAGAAGAGCCGAGGGCTCGGTGCTACGGCCCTGGTGGGCAGGTCTGCACTGCCTGCGACCTGGATTCTGCTCATTCTAGTGCTCTTCCGCGCCCTTCCGCGCCCACCCCACTCCCTGCAGCCTGCATTTTAAGTATATGCCTTCAACTGAGTTTTCATTGGCTAATTGGGAATAAGGCAAGGGAGTTGCTGAAAGATGCTGGTCCCAGGTGAGATTTTCACCCATCTCTCCTCCCTGTCCCCATCACTGAAACAAATGTGTGAAAAAAGCCCAGCAGCATTTGCAACCTCTCTGGAATCTGATACAGCCTCAGGGGTACAGCACATCTGATTTTTGGGGCCTCCAGGTGGAGAGAGCCCTGGACTGGGATCCAGCAACCCAGGATCCTGGGAAGGCTGGACACTCTGACTGTCTTCTCCTCCCCCTCCAGCTTGTCCCCTGACCTAAAAAGTGAGGGATGGATTTGGCACCTAAGGTCCCTTCTTCTCCAGGGTTTTCTGATTTAGGATTCTCTCAAGGCTAACCATCAATAAAAGGAAAATGAAGTTCGACTCAGTAAACTCCTGAAGCTGTATACTGTGGTAATTCTTATGCACAGCCTGAGGACTCAGGCTTTCTGCACTTGGACGGCCTTCCCCAATGATCCTAGTCTTCCAAAAGGAGTCTTTTCCAATTTGAGAAAAAAAACACTCATCTTGATTTGGGAAATTAACCAGTAGGGTTGACTGCATCACTGAAAATGAGATTGAATTCAAGCTGTTTTTCTAAAAATACATTTTTTAGATATGCTCTTTTATTGTTGTTACACACGCATTTCAAGAGACTATACACAACCTGAATATATACAGTGTGTGACACACACACACCTTCATGCACACCCTTACAGCCTAAATCAGATGCTCTTGTTGATGTTGGCAACTTCCTGTCAACTCCCTGTTCCTAAAGACCCAAAGAGCAGGGAACCTAAAAAAGAATTTCCTCCACTCTGGATCTGTTGATTTCTTGAGCAAAATTTTAGCAAGCCTCCCCTTTGCAGAAGCAAAAGGAGCTTTCTTTCCGAATTCCCCATCTCCCTCTCTCCCTTTCCTGGGATTTCTTTTCCCTCTATTCTTTGTTCTTCCTCCACCCCTGAATTGGCCACTAATTCAAAGATTCCCCTGCTTTAAAAATTCCATGCCCCATTCCCATGGCTGGGATGAGAATTCATCCTCCTCACCAGCCAGCTGTTTCTTAGGTAATATCTTCAGCCAACACTTCAAAACAATTACCCCACCACACCTTCATTGTGCTTACTTCCCAAAGAACAGAAACGCACAGTGATTTGGAAAATGATCCTGAGCCCTGACCCCACCCCCAAAGCATTTTCATCCTCCTCTCAGACCTCCTTTGAAGGAACATACCTAACAGTGAGTGAAAGGCAGCAGTTTGTCTTTTGATGTCAGCATATTATTGCCTGTATGAAATATGTAAGTGTTTTATATATTCTCCTGTTATTTTTGCCTTATATTTAGTATTGTTGAAAGATCCTTTTTTTCCCCTTCCAAGGAGTCCTATTGTAAAATCACTTATAAGATATGATTAATCTTTATGCTATTCCTGTATACGACGTTTGGTAATAAATTGTAAATCATTGACAATATGATTGACTGGTGCAGTTCAAAATGTGTTAATAATCTTGTAAAACATGATCACAGACATTAAGCTAAACTGTTCCATTTTTTTTTTTTTTTTGCTAAGAACTACCCACGGTTTGGAATGGTTGTAGATATTGATTTGTCTAAAATATTTAATTTAAATAAACTTTTTTTGTACCGTGACCATTTTATCATTTGAAATCTAGTTTTGCAAAAAGAAAACAGTTTCAAGTGAGGCATAGATATTATGTCTGGTGCTATCTATTGTCTTGGTCAAAATGTTTTCTATGTCAACTTTTTTTTTTAAGTTGTTGTCTTGTAGGGGTGCTTTATTTTATTTTATGAGTTATGGTAAAGAGATAAAGCCTAATATTACACATTGGAAACAGCATTGTTATTAATATTGAAAGGAAAGATTAATTCATAGCCTACCTGCATAACAATTTTCTTACCAGGATAATTTCACTCTTGTAAACTGGAACCAGGTGTTAATTCAAGATAGGAAGTCAGTTCTGCCCAATTAATTGCTTGCTTAATTAAGGCTACCACATTTTTTCCCTTCTTTTTGAAATAGTCTTGACAAATACCTGGGTTGCCCTTTTTACTGTGTATTTATGGATGTGGTAATAACAAGACATATGGACTCTCAGAATTCGATGGAATGTCGTGGAGAAGGCAGGGGAGCACACGTATCAGCAATTAAAGGATGGGACATCTTGTGAGGTTTAGGATTAAAATGCCAGCCAGAAAGTGCCTGGAAAATAACTGATGATTACTCAGTCCCCATGCAGGTCACCCATGTCTGGCTTCTCTCTGTGGTGAAGCAGTTGTAACTTGTTGGAGTCAAGATTAGTCTTGTGTGCTTCCAGGCCCTCTGGGCCAAGGAGTGGGTCTGGGGAGGCCCAACTAGGTATGTGTTCCTTCTTCAATTTTGACCATAATCTATAGTCATTACTTTAATAGCACTTTATAGGTGCAGGGAAATTTACAGTAAGTTTTATGGACTATTTCTCTTCCACAGCCCCAGGTGGGGCCCTGTCATTCAGCCACCTCATTGCGCAGGTGATACTGAGACCCAGGGTGGGAGGTGGTGCAGTGTAGTTTGCCCCACTCAGCTGAGGCAAATCCATTTGTTGGCAGCGGCAGCCCAACCGTCTCGCAGCTAGAGGCTTTGTGCTTTCTTTTTAGTGCTTCACCATGGCATGGAATTACTGTGCATGCAGTCCAAAGCATACCTATCACAGCCCAGGGGAAAAAGAATGAACAGAAGAAATCACAGGGTCAGAGACATGAAACCTGGACTCCTTGCTGCCCAAGCCCACCACAGCGGCCAGCTGACAGTGGCGGTCACAGAGCCATCAGCTGGCTGGAGGACTTGTCCGGCAGCATCTGCCCAAGACATTGGCCATCAGCACTGCCAAAATAGCATATTTCATTCCAGGACACGCTGTGGGGGTGGGGGCGTTGGCCCTGCCTCTGGGAGGGCAGGAAACAGGCAGGCGACATGGCTGTTCTTTCACTTTTGCTCAGCTGAGTGGAACAGCCGTGCCCAGAAGCCAGGGGTATTTTAGAGTTTTTGCTGCTCATGCTAAGCATCCACAGCCCCTAGTGACAAGAACACTTTTTGCTTTGGCTGAGGAGACATGATGGGTATGCACGGTTATAATTTCTTTCTCGAAAATGTAGATGTTTCCATTTCACTCTTTTCCTTAAGATCTTTCAGCACCTGCTTGTCACCCACGGCACACAGGGTGAGTACAAAAGTGGGTTCACATGAGGCCAACGAGGTACATGCTTCCGGGCCCCTCACTTTTGCAGGGTCCTGGGAGGGGCCCTGGTAATGTAATTACATGACCATTTGTTTTTATAAATTTTGCCAAAAGTAAGACTTTTTTGGGGGGGTCTGTGTCCTTTCCTTTAAGAGTCCCTCCCCACAACTGTACAAACTTCGGGACCGCTAACACCTGGCGTGGTTGCAAGCGAAGACCATTATGGCAGATCCTCTTCTTTCTAGAAGCCTCTCACTGTCCCCCACCCCCATGGTGTACCAACTGCACAGAAAGTTCTCTGTTATCTGAAAGTGCTCTCTTTTCCCGTAACGTCAGTGTTTTTCCCATGCTTTTCTCCTACAGGGGAGAGCCTCACTCCCATCACCTGTCTGATGACATCCTACTCACTGCCCAAGTCCAGCTCAGACATCCCCAACTTTGCTGGGAGAGGGGCTGGTGACACTCCTTTTTGAGCTCTTGCAGAGCTTGAGCAGGTCTGTGTGATGGCACTTAACACCTGTCATCCACCATGACACGCAGTAGCTGCTCGAGAAATAACTGAATGAGCAAATGAATAAAGGAAACACTTGAGATGTCCTATAGGTATTCTGGTTAATTTTGGTGGGAAAGACCTGAAAACGTCTGGGCTCCTAATTTTCCGGCCCATCCCTCTGGAAACCAAGCCCTCAGAGCATTTGTGTGTATAGTACTCAGGCTGAGGCTGGATGTAATGCAGCCATGGCTATTCACCCCCGCCTGCTGGAGTGTAGCCTGGAGCCCACCGGTCAAGAGATGGGCGCGAGGGCACTGGAGAAGAATCTTCTCTTTCATCCTATCTTACAGCAGCAGAATAGAGCTGAGGACAGATGATCTGTAACATCTGTAACTGCTTACTTTTCCTTTTGAGAAGGTTGTGCTCTTGATTTCATCCCAGTGAAAGGGATTTAGATGGAAGGAAGGAAGGAAGGAAGGAAGGAAGGAAGGAAGGAAGGAAGGAAGGAAGGGAAAAGAGATCTATCTATCTATCATCTATCTATGTATCATCTATCTCTCTATCATCATCTATCATCTACCCATCCATTTATTCACCCACCTCACCCACCCATCTGTCGTCTTTCCATCCATTCACCTATCTTTTTAGCTACAATCATCAATTGATATTTTAATTCTCACAAAAGACACAGTCTTTGTAGAAAGCTTAGAAAAAAAAATATCAGTGAGAAAAAAATAATTCATCTATTGCCTGCAACTTAGAGACATTACTGGTCATATTTTTCCAGATATCCATCCAGTCTTTTTTTTGGTCTAGCTCTACATATACATATGTCTTTTATAATAGACATTTTGTTCATTAATAGTAAATAAACGTTTTCCTGTGCCATTGAACTTCATATTTCTGCAAAAGGTGTTTTCTTTCCAGTTGAAAAATCAAAATACAAATTTTTGGAAAAAAGGAAAATTGCCCACACCACGACCTTGGCATAACCATGTTCAACATAACTTATCTTTGTCTACTGAACTCCCAAGACTTGTATTCATGCATGTGAAATTGTCCCTGGTGTGCTCACACACCGCTGTAGATCCATTGGGACTTGGCTTTATCCTTTCAACACCCTATTGTAGAAGTTTCGCCACGTTGATATTTGTCTTCATATTTGTCACTTTTGACGATGGCACTGTACTTCAGTGCATTAATGTAGCTTAATTTACCTGACCACCTCTTGCTATTAGATAACTGAATTGTTCCTTTTTAGGTTTTTTTTTTTTTTGGCCATTGCAAGTAACACTGCAGTGAACATTTACTTGTTTATGTCCTTGGCTAGATTCCCAGCAGGGTATCACTGGGTCTAAGTATGAGCAAGCTTACAGCTTTTGCTTTAAACCGTGTGATTGTTGGCTTTCCCAAAGAGTCACACCTGATAGTTGAGGCGCAAAGTGACTCCATTAAATTCCCAGAATGAACTGACTCTTTCTTCACAGGAGGAATTAAAATCCCTGAAGACGATTTATAGCCGACTTACACCTGACCAGGCGCAGGTGGCTTCACTTGTCATGGTGGCTTTGTCTTCCTGAGGACCTAGTATGTGCTTGCTGCTAGCTTCCATTGGCAAATTGAGTGTTCTTTTCCCTAAACACCACGGTGGATGGCACAGCCTTCCCTGAGCATCAACTTACTATATGGGGGAAAGGTTTTTCTATAAGTTAGCAAAGCAACTAGGTTGGTTCCCCAGAGCTCCTGGTGCAGAGCCATCAGCTCTGCTGGCTGCATGCACGGGGCCCTCTGAGCTCTAGACACAGTGGGAGAGCATCTGGAAAGAGCCCAGGCCAGCGTCTGATCTTACTTCATCACTGGAGTTTGATTGGGACTTAGGTAAATCCCTGGTCCTGTTCTCTTGTCTAAGGGGGCGCTTAGTGATTTTGTAGGCTCTTGAAAAATTGTAAAGCTTTATATGTAAGGATAGCCATTGTCTATTTAAATTTCTTTAGACAATTTGGATTTCTTTTAGGCCGGGAGGCTGAGACTAGTTTGAAAAATTGGAGCCGTGTATCCAGTGATTGACATACTGGGATTGATTGTGTGGGACAAATGAGGAGACAGGGCCGCTATGATATGGTTAACAGGGATTATAGAGGGACTCTGTTTCCTTCTTTGGGCACTGAGCTGGGACTGAAAGGGACCATTTGGGTCAATTAGTCCATTCTCCTGCCTCTACTGAGGACTGCCTCTTGGCAATTCTTGGCAGATGGGTTTCTATTGATTTGAGAGCCCTCTAGAAAAAGGGATTTTTCTCTCTGTAAGCAAGTCTAACAAGTTCCATGATCAAAAGTTCTTCCTTCTTCTGCCCCTAAGTACCCCCTGCTTTAGTCTGAGCTCATTTCCGCTTGATGTCATTGGTGGAGATACATACACTTGGTCTCCATCTTGCCCAGGTGGTCCTTATCCCTGAAGGCTGGTGGTCAGGTTCCTTTCCTTTTTTTTATGGAGCAATGTTTGAGGCCAGGTAGGGGGAGTGGTTCCCTCCAGACCCTCTCTCAGGTCTGCATGCTCCTTCATCAGAGACTAAATGCTGTACGGATGTGGGAGTGGGGGAGCGGAAGGGGAAGGGAGGTCTTCTTATCTACATGATGAGAGAGGAAGGTAGGGATTCCACCTGGGAGTCGTAGAGTGGACTCTGCGGGCACTTTTGGAATGTTCTGCATGTAGGCGTAGGGTGTGGTCATTTCTCAGAAGCTTACATCACTGGGTCAAATAGTCACTCATTCCCCATCCATCCGAGGGTCTGAGGGGTGGCACAGGTCTGGGATAAATGGAGGGGGTCCTTACAACAAGGAAAAGATTCCACCAGATTCTGGAAAAATCACTAGATTATGATGAACCAAGTGACTTTGCGAACTCCAGGGGCCTCAGGGAGC